TCGAAATCAAAGGTTGCAAGCTGTGGGCCTGAATAATGGTTAAATGTGGTTTTCAGAAAAAAAAATTTTTTTGGCACACTGTTTTTAAAATTTTGAAATAGAACACTTTAAAATATTTCATTTATTTATTTATTTGTCAGAGAGAGAGAAAGAGAGAGCGAGTGCACAAGCAGGCAGAGTGGCAGGCAGAGTCAGAGAGAGAAGCAGACTCCCTGCCGAGCAAGGAGCCTGATGCAGGAATTGATCCCAGGACTCTGGGTTCATGACCTGAGTCGAAGGCAGCGGCTTAACCAACTGAGCCACTCAGGTGTCCCGAAATAGAACACTTTAAAGTGTGTATGCAGTGCATATTTGGCCACAGGTCCCAATACTCTAATTTCAGGCAGGTTTACTCATTTCTCTTACTTCCCTGGCCCTGTTCACATTTGAGTTTTTGACTTTTGCTTGAAGTTTTAGGATGTTTTAGTTCTCATCTGGATCTGGGGGGTTAAATATATCTGTATACTTAAAAATCCCAAATTTATATCTCTAATCTTTATTTCTCCCTCAAAATGTGTTTATGTCAAAAACATTAGAGATTCGAGGGCCTTTTTTTATTGATTAAAAAGGTATAACACAAGTAACCACTGTATGATAGAAGCAGCAACATAATGTACAGAAACTTGTGACCAGCACCAGGTGTTTTATATAAGTGTTAAATCACTAAACTGTATACCTGAAACTAATGTTCATTGAGATTTACGTAAAAACTAAAAGCTAAAACAAAAGAAAAAAGATAAGAAAAAAAAAGATATGCAGAAAAAAAAGGAATGTTGAACAGGGATGTTTCATAATTTTATTTTATGATGGGAAATTATATATGTTTGCTTGGGGAGAAGAATGATTTAGTAGAGAGGGCAAATGGATGAAAGCAGGAGCATAGTATAGGAAGGCAGTTGTTGAAAAGAATGGAATAAGATGAGGATGCCTTTGGTAGGTACAGAGACTTTTTTAAAGTTACAAGATGAAAATGGGATTTAGATCTGGTGATAGGAAGTTAAGGAAGTTCCATCTCCTGCTCTTCACTTAATTGAAGTATGAGATGAGGTCATCAGCCGATATCCAAAATCTATAAAGAACTCCTCAAACTCAACACCCAAAAAATAGATAATCATGTCAAAAAATGGGCAGAAGACATGAACAGACACTTCTCCAAAGAAGAGATACAAATGGCTAACAGATACATGAAAAAATGTTCATCATCACTAGCCATCAGGGAAATTCAAATCAAAACCACATTGAGATACCACCTAACACCAGTTAGAATGGCCAGAATTAACAGGACAGGAAACAACAAGTGTTGAAGAGGATGTGGAGAAGGGGGAACCCTTTTACACTGATGGTGGGAATGCAAGTTGGTGCAGCCACTTTGGAGAACAGTGTGGAGATTCCTTAAGAAATTAAAAATAGATGGGGCGCCTGGGTGGCTCAGTGGGTTAAAGCCTCTGCCTTCGGCTCAGGTCATGATCCCAGGGTCCTGAGATCGAGCCCCGCATCAGGCTCTCTGCTCGGCAGGGAGTCTGCCTCCCCCTCTCTCTGTGCCTGCCTCTCTGCCTACTTGTGATTTCTGTCTGTAAAATAAATAAATAAAATCTTAAAAAAAAAAAGAAATTAAAAATAGAGCTACCGTATGACTCTGCAATTGCACTACTGGGCATTTACCCCAAAGATACAGATGTGGTGAAAAGAAGGGCCATCTGTACCCCAATGTTCATAGCAGCAATGGCCACAATTGCCAAACTATGGAAAGAGCTGAGATGCCCTTCAACAGATGTATGGATAAAGAAGATGTGGTCCATATATACAATGGAGTATTATGCCTCCATCAGAAAGGATGAATACCCAACTTTTGTATCAACATGGATGGGACTGGAGGAGATGATGTTGAGTGAAATAAGTCAAGCAGAGAGAGTCGATTATCATATGGTTTCACTTACTTGTGGAACATAAGGAATAACACGGAGGACATTAGGAGAAGGAAAGGAAAAGTGAATTGGGGTAAATTGGAGAGGGAAACAAAGCATGAGAGACTGTGGACTTTGAGAAACAAACTGAGGGTTTTGGAGGGGTGGGGGTTAGGTGAGCCTGGTGGTGGGTATTAAGGAGGGCATGGATTGCGTGGAGCACTGGGTGTGGTACATAAACAGTGAATCTTGGAACGCTGAAAAAGAAAATGAAGGAGAGTTCAGTAGTTCTGAGGAGAGAAAAGTGTAGTCATTTCAGCAGGAAAATATAGTAGGATTTCTAGGCAATTCTGAGTGCCCTTGAGGTTTAAGGTCATTAATTTTTTTTAAAGATCCTCCCAATCTTTTTTTTTTTTCTTTTTTAAAGATTTTATGTATTCATTTGACACAGAGAGAATGACAGGGAGAGAGGGAACGCAAGCAGGGGGAGTGTGTGGGAAAAGCAGGCTCCCTGATGAGGAGGGAGCCCTGCGGGGCTTGAGCCCAGGACCCTGGGATCATGACCCCAGTCCACGGTAGAAGCTTAACGACTGAGCCACCCAGGCATCCCTAATATCATCAGTTTAAGGGAAAAACTGTTTGGGTTTGTGCTTTACTCAGCAGTGTGCCACTGCCTTGTTCAGATAAGGAGAAGGTTTGACTAGAGAACTGAGCTTTTACCAGGCAAATAGGATAATGGGAGAAAAGTGCAGGAAAGTTAAAGATGTTTGCAAGGCAGTGGTTATAAGGATGACTCTGAACTCTCAGAGTGGTAAAGAGGGAAATACAGGAAAAGAAAGGAATTATAAAAAGTATAAATGTAATAGGATAATTGTCTTAATGTGGTTAAAGAATTACTGAAGTTGAGCTAGAGTAGAGTGCTCTGACTAGGCCAGAGGATGGGCAGGAGAGCCAACAGATACCTGTCTCTTTGGAGTGAGGAATAAACTGTGGAACCAGGCTCAAACCATGCTTGAGGAGACTGAGAGGAGTTGGGGACTAGAGATTTTTTGGTAGAGTCACACAATGACTGGCATTCCCCTGCTTTTAAACACTTCTTTAGCTCACTGTGCTCTATAGAATGGAGTACTCTCAAAAGAAAAAATTTAAAATTAATCACCTTTTGTTTCCAAGTATTGAAAACACGATTTTGATGTTCTGGGTTGGACTGATTTATCCAGCATAGCAGGGATTGAGATATTCTGGAATGTCAAAGGTCTACTGTTCTATAATCCCAGAAGCTGTAGATGAGTAGTGTTAATATTTTAAAATATTACTCTCCAATTGTTTTTTTCCCCTGCATATATTCATATAACTGATAGTAAATAGTGCATAGTTGTGTATCTTTTTTTTTCTTAACTTACTAAAAGAACATGTAATTAGTGAATATTAGGTAATGGTAATTTTAACTAATAACTTCAAAAATGAAAGTGTTGTTTGAGAAAATCATTCTGTATTTATAATACATCTTTTTATAGATTTTGGGTTATTTGAGAATAAAAAATTTATATTCTCTTAAGAAAACATTTGAAAAAATAAAAAAATAGAAAAAAGAAATAGAAAAAAGAAAAAAAGAAAGAAAACATTTGAATTGGTTAAGAAAGAAAAGTTCAGGGGCACCTGGGTGGCTCAGTGGGTTAAAGGCTCTGCCTTCAGCTCAGGTCATGATCCCAGGATCCTGGGATCGAGCCCCGCAACGGGCTCTCTGCTCAGCTGGGAGCCAGCTCCCCCCCCCCCCACCTGCCTCTCTGCCTACTTGTGATCTCTGTCAAATAAATAAATCTTTAAAAAAATTTTTTAAAAAGATAGAAAAGTTCAGTAATAGACTTGTTTACAAACAATGAATATCAGTAGGTTGGGGTGCCTGGGTGGCTCAGTTGGTTAATTGTCTGCCTTCGGCTCAAGTCATGGTCTTGGTCTTGGGATCAAGCCCCACGTTGGGCATTACGCTCAGTGTGGAGTCTGCTTCTCCTTTTCCCTCTACCCCTCCCCCTGCTCATGCTCATTTTCTCTCTTTCTCTCTGTCTGTCTCAAATAAATAAATAAAATCTTAAAAAATATATAGGACAAGTTTACAGAATAAGGTTAGAAAACAAAGCAAGGCATTTGAAAATCCTGATCAATCTTAAGAATATGTATGAGTGAAAATGTTAGAGTGCTAGCAAATATGATTAAAATCTGATCTACCATTGCCAAGTAAGAAATGTTGTACTAGAAAGAAATTTAGTACATTATCAGACTTAATTGGGAAAAAAAGATACTGTATTATAGTTTGATCAAATATAGAGTTCATTCCTAATCAAATTAATTAAATATGAAAATAAAAGTGTACTTTCATAGCATGGTAGGAAGAATATCTTTATTAACCAATACCAAATTTAAAAGAAAAATGCCGATAAAATTGTTAACCATTTGTCTTTTTTAAAATTTAAATTCGATTAGCCAACCTATAGAACCTCAGTAATTTCAGATAGTCTTTAATTCAACATTGGTACTTAGTGTGGTCTGTGGATTGGTGCCAATCCATGAATTGGTTGTTTCAGGTCTATCAAGAGATAAGTACAAGAATATAGAAGTAGTTAGAAACTTTTATAAATTTGACAGTAATTTTGGTTTTTAGAGCTAAAAATTGGACATTTGGCCTTCTGTTTTATATTTTCGGCTTATATATCTTTTAAATTTAATTTTCTAATTCATATTTGTAATCAAATTGTAAGATTTCATGTAGAACCAAATATAGTGAAGAGAACTGTTAAAGAATAACAGAAATGCTAGTGATATAACACATTGAAAGATGGGTAGTGATGGGAAGAGCTCTAAAATGTAGTTAATATTGTGAAAAACATATAGAAAGAACAGTTTACTTTCTCCAAAAACACTATGATGAGAATGTTATCACACAGAAGCCAAATGCTACTTGAGTTTATGGATATTTGTATCTAAATATTAATATATATGGTATATATATTATACTCGGTTAATGACTTAGCATATTTTCCTTCAAAATTATTGTTTTAGAGAACAGAATGTTGGCAGTATCTTCCTCAAGAGATGGACTCTTCCCACACCTTGGATATGACCCAGACCAGGTTTAATATGAGAGAGGAAGGGACCGAAGTGACAGACCTCGCCTCTCTGGAGGAAGGTATATTGACCCAACCAGAAAATCAAGGAAAGGAACCCAAGAGAGGTCTCTTATGTTCGCCGCTGCTAGGTAATGCCTCTTTATTTTTAACTAGTAGTAATAACATATTTATAACATACTTTTGGGGGACATTGGGTCTTGCATCTAAATCTCTTTTTCTTTCTTTTAGGTTATTTATTTTAGAGAGCGTGCAAGCAAGCAGGGGGTGGGGAGAAGTAGAAGGAGAGGGAGAGAGAATCTGAAGCAGACTCTGCAGTGATTACAGAGCCTAACTTGAGGCTCGATCTCTCCACTGCAAGATCATGAGCAGAGCTGAAACCAAGTCAGACGCTTAACTGACTGAGCCACCTAGGCACCCCTAAATCCTTTCATGAATTGAGGAGCTCTATAGAGCCATCCTCAAAGGTATTAGCTTAATTTTGGTTTTCTACACTGACCATCTGGTCTGGTTATATGTACCTGCCCTTCATTATGTCCTGTTGCTCACAGAAGGTAGAAAGGTGATAACTTCCTCTCTAGTGGGTATACCTCCTTGGCCTTGAGTTTGTGGATTTTTCCTTGGGGTAAACTATTTATTATCCTTTGACAATCTCTTATCTCTTGCAATGGAACCTCCATGATCCTTAAAAAACAACAAATGCTTACAAGCTTGCTTCATTAGATTCTTTTTTTTTTTAGATTTTTAAAAATTATTTTTATTAACACATAATGTATTATTTGCCCCAGGGGTACACGTCTGTGAATTGTAAGGCTTACACACTTCATAGCACTTACCATAGCACATACCCTCCCCAGTGTCCATAACCCAGCCACCCTCTCCATACCTCCTTCCCTCCAGCAACCCTCAGTTTGTTTTGTGAGATTAAGAGTCTCTTATGGTTTGTTTCCCTCATGATCCCGTCTTGTTTCATTTTTCCTTCCCTACTTCCCAAACCCTCACCTCTGCCTCTCAAATTCCTCATATCAGAAATTTATCAGAATTATCAGGAATGATAATTCTTTCTCTGATTGACTTATTCTGCTCTACATAATACCCTCTAGTTCTATCCACATTGTTGCTAATGGCAAGATTTAATTTCTTTTGATGGCTGCATAGTATTCCATTGTATATATATACCACTTCTTCTTTATCCATTGCTTCATTAGATTCTTAGAATTAGTTAAGTCATATGTTATTCTCAGTTTTCAGACCCTAAAAGTGAGATAAAGAGGTTAAATGACTAGTCTGAGGTAGATCTTACTGGTTTCCTCTGCTTAATATGGCACTGATTTATTAGCTCTTTACAAAAGGTAAACATGAAGTACCTTTCAGATTATCAGGGTAGGAGATAGAATTGTGTTATTACTACTTTGAATTGTGTGGGTATAGAAGAATGCTTAACCAGTATGGTGATTTCAGTTTTTTTTGCCTAAATGATAATTAAGGCAATATTATTTTGCTCTTCTTTTTGTTTTATTCAGGTTTTCTTTTCCCCCCAAATAACGCTTCTCAGCCTTTTGGCTAAGATCAAGTGTAGAACTAGCCTTGACAGTGGAAGGAGATTTAACCATGATGTTATCTTGTCAGCGTTTTGTAGAGGAGCGCCAATAGGAGTTAATTCAACAAGTTTCTTTCTTTCTTTCTTTCTTTCTTTTTTTTTAAGATTTTATTTATTTATTTGATAGAGCACACAAGTAGGCAGAGCGGCAGGCAGAGGGAGAGGGGGAAGCAGGTTCCCCTTCTGCTGAGCAGGTAGCCCAATGTGGGGCTCAATCCCAGGATCCTGGGATCACGACCTGAGCTGAAGACAGCTGCTTAACTGACTGAACCACCCAGGTGTCCCACAAGTTTTTTTCAAACATAAGCCAAGGTTATCCAGATCAGAATATGGGCACCAGTGTATTTTATGGTGTAGACCATCAGAGTCCGTTTTAGTTTCACATTTTAAGAAAGTTGTTGACAGTGGGGCTCCTTGGTGGTTTAGGCAGTTGAGCTTCTGACTGTTGGTTTTGGCTCTGGTCCTGGGATCTGGCTTCATGCTTAGCTTGGAGACTGTTTGTGATTCTCTGCCTCTCCCTCTGCCCCTCCCCACCTCACATACTCTCTTTTTCTCTCTTTAAAATAAATAAATGAATAAAAAAAATTTTTTTTTAAAAGAAAGATATCGACAGCACAGCAGTTCCTTTTTGAGAGGAAATGAGTATGACAGTAGATGAAAGAGAAGACTTTGTTATGATCAGGTGTTTGAGGGGCTGTCAAGCTAAAGAGGAAGGAGTTTACCTTTCATTTATTCACTCATTTGCTTAACAAATATCTAAGTACTTATATTGTGTTTGATGCTAAGGATATATAGATATAGAAAGCTACTTCTACTCTTGGGAAGACTAGTAAACAGAAAAATAACAGTACCGTAGGATTGGTATTATAATGATCTGGTGCAAGGATCTGATTTTGTACTGGCCATGAGCTAAGAATAGTTTTTGGATTTTTAAATGATTGTAAAAAACAAAAAAAGAAGTACATGTGATAGAGACCATATGTGACCCACAAAGTGTGAAATATTTATTAGTTGGCCTTTTAAAAAATGGTTGCTTATTCTTAGTCTAGGGGTTAAAATGAGAATACATAGCTTATAGGGAGGCTGTTTTCAATTTGATATAAGAAAGAACTTTTCTAACGGAGCCATTTAATAGTACAAAGACCATATAACAACAGAAAATGTGAGGTTTATATCATTGCAAAATGTCAAGAAAATCCTCTAACAGAATTTCAACATTGGGTCGGAGATTATGCAATGTGGCTTCTAAAATGTTTTCTAGTTAAGGTTTTAGAACTACAGCTTCTCATTTACTTTAGATAAATAGAACATTTTTAGTTATTAGAGCAGATCCCTGGATCTGATACATCTCTAGAGGAAATTTCATCATTGCTGTTTTGTTATGTATGTATATAGTCATTGGGGGGTGTATCGGTCTCACCAGCGGCAGATGTCATGATGATGACTGGTGCCAGAACAGTTAGATATTTCAAAAAATAGTGGTCTAAGCCATCAGCAGTTGTCTAAATGTGAGGAAATGTGGGATCTTTGTTAAAAACCTTTATGATTTTTAGAGGAATGAGAGACTTCTCTGTTATGAAGGTTTAAGACTGAGTCTGTAAGCCAAGGTCAAAGAGGAATCATACCAAGCAGTCCTTGGTAGTCAAGGTTATCATTCTCATCCTGCTTGATTTTTAATAAATTAATTTTTAATAAATCTATTTTGAGTAACTAAGTGTAGCAAGTACTTTGGTAGGCACTGCAGATACAGCTGTGAATAAAGTGGATGTGGAGTTGACTGTCCAGGTGAGAAGCAGTCAGACCAAAAATTAAAACATGGTATGACAGGGGCGCCTGGGTGGCTCAGTGGGTTAAATCCTCTGCCTTCGGCTCAGGTCATGATCCCAGGGTCCTAGGATCGAGTCCCGCATCGGGCTCTCTGCTCAGCAGGGAGCCTGCTTCCTCCTCTCTCTCTGCCTGCTTCTCTGCCTACTTGTGATCTCTGTCTGTCAAATAAATAAATAAAATCTTTAAAAAAAAAACAAAACAAAACCAAAAAAAAAAAACATGGTATGACAGTTATGATAGGGAAGGTGTTGTCATGCAGAATTATAGGCATTCTGAAATCAAGAAAGTGTACCATAGCAATGGTATCACATTCATAGTGAAAGAACGTTTAGTTCTAGCAAAATATCACCTATCCAGTTAAATTAATCTTGGAATATTGATGGTTTTATAGTTTTATTTCTATTAAAATTGTTTTTGTTTTATAGTTATATAAATGGTATAAATAATGAGGAGTTTATACCTATTTTGTATGTATTTAGGCACATATAATAAGAATTATTTAAGTTGACATTCAGGAATCCACAAGAATTATTTTTCCTTTAAATCAGCAGTTCTCCAACTTTTTGGAGAACAGGACTCCTTTACATATTTTAAAATTACCAAGGACTTCAAGGAGCTTTTGTTTATGTGGGTTGCTGATATTTCCCATTTTAGAAATTAAAACTTAGTAATTTCTAAAATATTAACTCATTAAAAAAAAAACTCCATTGCATGTTAACATAAATTACATTTTTTTAAGAAAAATAACTATTTTCCAGAGCAAAATATTTAAGAGTGCCATTGTTTTATTTAAGAACAAAAATCTCTATAATGTTTGGCCTCATAGAGGAGAAGTAGATTTTGATAATCTGCTTTTGCATTCATTATGTTGCTATATCTCAGATGATGTAGCTTCTGGAAAATTCTACCATACCCTTGTGAGAGAATGAAAGTGAATAAGGCAAATGACATCTTAATATTATTTTGAATATAATTTTGACTCTAGGTACCTCCTGAGAATGTCTTAGGGATGCCCAGGAACCTATGGACTACAGTTTGATTTAAGATGGACAGAAACACTCATAATGGTTAAGAGCACTCACTAAGAAATTAGAGTGTTTAAGTTCAGTTCTCATTCTGACACTTAAGCTATTTGAATGTGGGCAAATTCATATTTCTTAAATTTTATAATCATGTTTCCTCAGCTGTGAGATGGGCATAATACCTATCCTTCAGGGTTATCTTTGAAATGTTGTGCTTTAAGTGCTGTTATGTTATCATTCTGATGCTTTTAGAAACTTTCAGATGGCTACATATTTAGGTTCTATAAAGTATTACATGAGTAAGCTAAGCAATTAACTTTCAGCATTCCCAACATTTTTATGCTTGAAACTTTGCAGTCATACAAGACAACTTTGCTTCCCCTGATTTGCCTTTGCTGACATGTATGACACAAGATCAAGAGTTTGGGTCTGATTCCTTATTTCAACAAAGCGAACTAGATTTTGCACCTCTGAGGTAGGATGATTTATTTTTTTATTTGCATGTAAACTTCCTACTTTTTCTTGTTCTAAGTTGTTGCTAATATTAATGACTTCAGGCTAAGGTGAGACTTTGGAGTGGGGGTTAGATATTTTCAGCACACCCTTGGAAGGTAACAAGGCCCTAAGTTAAGACATGATACACATTAATTTGGTATAGTAATACATGTGTAAAAATGAGCCAGACAACTGTAGTTTATTTAAAAATGTTTTTTAATGTATTTTAGCATTTCAGGCATAATTTATTTTATTTTTAAATTTTTATTGTAGTATAGTTGACATACAGTGTTAGTTTTGGGTGCACAACGTAGTGTTTTGACAGTTCTATTCATTCTGTAGTGCTTACCATGATATGTGTTGTACACCTGAAGCTAATATAATAATGTTTGTCAACTATACTAAAATAAAATGTTTAAGAAAAAACTGTAGATGTTTGCAGAGTAAACACCTTTGCCCTTCTGCTATGTATTACCTTAAAATCACTTTTATGAAAAGGTGTTCTATGTATAATAGTCAACTAATAATTAGGTTACTGCTGTGTTTTAAGAGTACATCACTTCTTAAGGGGTTTTAAAGAGCACAGTAAATGACTAGTGAAAGAATTAGTGAAAGTTAAGTGAGTATTAAGTTATGATAGGTGATAAACATTTTAAATAGTAAAGTTTGAATTTTTTATTTAATCTCTTTTTGGCAGTATGAAAATATTCCCTATTTTTGGGTAGTATTGTTTTAGGAGAAGGTTGAAAAACAAGTCAGGGTCATAGGATGGGAGTTTGTATTCTATTTATACAAAATTTGCCTGGTTCAGTCACTAACCACTTTAAGGGAATTTGAGATTAGAACTTTGTTTTTTCAACACATTTTCAAATAATCTTAATTTCAGTGACATATCAATTTTGTATTTTTCATGTTAGTATTTAAAAAAATGTTTTAAATGTGTTATTTATTTATTTTTAACTGTATATTTTTCAGGGGAATTCCTGGTAAGTCTGAAGATACTGAATGGTTTTCTCGACCATCAGAAGTTAGTGAAGCTTTATTCCAGGCAGCCTCAGAAGTAGCTTCAGACTTAGTTAACAGTTGCATTAGTGTATCTCAGCACTCGCTTATAGCTAGTACAACTGTTGAGTGTCGGCACTCTTTTTTACCTTTTGAACAAGGGATTAAAGAAGAGACCCCTTCTTCTGATACAGTTGATGAACTGAAAACCCCCAATGACTTCGATAGTTATGATGCTCTTTGTTCCTGTATGGCATGGAAGACACAAGAAGTTCAGGAGCCAGAAGTCAGTTTAGCTGATAAAGGTCAAGTTTCTGTTTCGACCTCATCTTATACAAGTGATGAATACATGACTCCTGAAGGAAGTGACAGTTTTGATGCTTCTTGTTCGTATGTGCAGTATTGGAAACAGAAAGCTTCACAGAAGTCAGAAAATTATCTAACCAGTAAGGATCATGATTCTTATTCAGATTCATCTGACACAATTGATAAAAACAAAATTCCTAAGGGAAGTGACAGTTTTCATGCTCCTTTTTCATATACGCCATGGAGCAAACGGAAAGTTTCACACCATCCAGAAACATATGTGATCAGTAAGGACTGTGTTTCTTTTCCCCATGAAGTTGCTCCTCATTTTAATAACAGAATGTCACATTCTTTCTTGCATTGTCTGTTGGAAAGAAGAGGAAAGGGCATTCCATTGACAGCTCACAATTATTTTGGGAGTGTTTCTTTAAGGGCTCCAGCTGAGAATGAGGTGAAAGAAATGATGGGGTATGAAAGAAATGAAGAAGGTCTGGAGAAAGAACTATCTCAAGGTTTTGAACAAAAGGAGAGTAGAAGTACTTCAGTATTTCCCGAGATGCATCCCAGATCTTCAGAAATACAATTATTTGAGAATGTTGTAGTTCCTGATAATTCTGTAAAAGTTTCGGAAATAGATACACACTCTAGGCAACATGGTACCTCTAAGATGGAGGTTTCTGGTGGTCCTCTTAAGACGATTAAATCCAACTTGGATGAGACATCAGAACAACCGTATTTACAAGAGGAAAGATACCAAAGGGCAGCTTCTGCTTTTGGTGGAAATAGTGTTGATGCTTCTGAAAATGTAGCCTTTGAGGTAGTTATTGCCTCTATTGAGCCTTCCAAGAAAGACAGTACAGTAAATGAAATCCAAACTGACATTAGTAAGTCTTTAATAAATGACAGCCAAGAACGTGAACCAAAAAATTCACATCTTTCTCTATTAAATTATAATGGTGAAAACTCTTTGTTTGATGAGCTCAGTCATCCGCTTTATCAGTCTACTCCTGGGGTGTTTGAATTAGCGGCTTCAAAACCATTGTTGCATAAAAAAGATAATAGTGATAGCTCCCTGTATTGGCATCTTGATTTAAAATCCCTCCCCAGTGCTCCTCAGGAAATGTTCATTAAGCCACTTTCTCTTCCAGAGCTTAAGTCATCTGCTTCTTTAAGTGAAAAATCTCACAGCCAGGCTGCTGGTCTTGGCAAAGCACAGTCAACTTTATTTCAGTGCGATCTAGACAATGAACCATTTCTTCCCATTGGGAAGATAAAGTCTGGTCCTGATCTTGACCTTGCAGAGAAGGCAGGATCTTCAAACATTTTTTATCCAATGAATGTATCAACTTCAGATTCTTTGGTTTTACAAGATTTAAGAAGATTTGAAGAAATTGCGGATTCCTCAAACTATATTTTGGTTAAGAATGTAAACTCTAATAACATCATTGAAGGTCCTTCTGCAGGTGTAGGAGGTGGCTTTTCAGCAAACTTGGTGACAAGTGATGCTAAGTCACAAGGTACTTTACCAATGACCAGTAATGCATCATTAATTCCAGTCGGCCAAGAGTCATTGCTGAAAGCTGATGTAGGTCAAGATAAAATTCCTCAGCCTATGGGAGACAAATCCTATTTTACTATACATACAGTTATGCAAAACGACTCCTATTTTGTAGAGGGCCTGCAGGGGAATGCTGAATCTGAGACCTCTACTCTGGGTGATGATACTGAATGCTGTGACCTAGATGAAAATGCTATTGTTGGCAGTACAAGAGCTGCTGATCTACAAAGAGAGGTGAGACACAATAAAATGATATTTGGGGGAAATGTTGTCTTTTCTAGTACTATTTTAGGAAATGGTATTGTTACTTGTTTTTATTTTTCTTTCTTTTAATTTTATGAGCAGGTGTGTGAACAAGGTGACTTGCCTGTTGAGTGCATTGAGCTAGCAGGTTTTAAAAATGTGCTTGATGATCTGGAGGTTTGTGACAGCTCCCTGCACAGGCAGTCTGCCGTAGAACTGCCATCAAAGGAAGAGAGTGATTTTGAAGAGCCTGTAAGTTACTCTGTTTGATATTTCTTAGGGGGTAGGGAAAGAATATTTTAGTTGAAAAATGGGGTTGAAAGTAAAGGGCCCATTTATATCCTCTAATACCAACATGTGACTTACAGTCTGGTCTTCATCTGATATCCAAGAATATGCTCCATTAATTTGTTAGAGGTTGGCATAAAAGAAATATTTGTGTTTCATAGACCATAAGAGTTAGTGAGTTTTGTGGTGTCTGGGAAAAGGCCTTCCTTTGGAGCTCCCAGGCCTTTTATATTGAGATGTGCTAACTCTTCCCAGTTGTGGCAGCAAGAACCTTTAGACAGTGTTCAGATTAGACTCACTGGTAGAGATAGTCAGTTGTACATTTTTTCACTCTGCCCTTCAACTTACAAGCATTGGAATAGACCCTGGAATATTTTAAATATTTCTGTTTGGAAGCTCCTGAAAGGTTTGACTTCAGAGGAATTTTGAAAATTATAAGAGCCAGTGTTTTCCCAGGAAGGATACTGAGGTGCTTAATATCCACACTAGTTAGTGTCCCCAAAGGAAATTAACTGCCTCCTTCCCAAATGAGTGACATACTGAAGCATATACACATTCCCTCCCTCTCTCTGTTTATATCATTATTATTGTGTATGTGTACTAGAAAATAACTTTGAAGTGTTAAAAAGTTCTCTGTCAACCTTTCTTTTATACAAAACTTCATTTGCCTGGATGCTTGCCTCTCTTGGTTTTAATGCTCCTTTGGTCCCATTGCCTATCCTCTTTTGTCTGATACGGTCAGCTTCTTTATAATATATCCTTATATTTTATTAGTCATTAAATATAGCTGTACAATAAATGTTGTGTACTTAATGTTACTTTCCCTTTCCTGTTTTTCCATGTATAAGATTAGTATGTCATTGGAAAGCTGCTAGTTTGGGTTGCAATCATTTTTAGATCTTTAGGTTCAGGCGGTTGATTAGAGAAAATGAACAAAGATATTGAGATAAATTTTTCCTTTCATTTATAATTACCGAGTATATCAAAAATTGAAATACAGAGAACTGTGAGGTTAATTTTATTTCCTTTAATATTCTAAAGTAGACATTGTTTGGGCACCTGGGTGGCTCAGTCAGTTAAGCATCTGCCTTTAGCTCAGGTCATGATCCCAGGGTTCTGGGATCAAGCCCCACATTGGGCTCCCTGCCCATCTGGGAGCTTTGTTCTTCTTTTTCTGCTCTCCCTGCTTGTGCTCTCTCTCTGTCAAATAAATAAAGTAGACATTGTTTAATTTTCAATCTCTTAATGGGGATGAAAATGATAGTTAACACTGTGTGCTCAAATACTATGCTAAGCGATTTATTTATATACATTGATTCATTTAGTCCTTTGGCCAGTCCTGTCAGGTAGGATTATTGGGGATTGGTATCATCCTCATTTTACAATTGATATTTAGAGGGTTAAGGAACTTGCTCGTTGTTATTGAGCAAGTTGAGGACTAGTATTTGATACTAACCTTACCTTTTTTTTTCCTTAAGATTTTATTTATTTATTTTTGAGAGAGAGATAGCGAGAGAGTGAGCGCAAGCAGAGGGGAGAAGAAGCAGGGTCCCCGCTGAGCTGGGAACCTGACATGGGGCTCAATTCCAGGACCCTGGGACCATGACCTGACCCAAAGGCAGACACTTAACTGACTGAGCCTCCCACGCATCCTGAAACTAACATTATCTATGTATTTAACCACTATATCATAAACTGCCTTCCTGTTTAACTATTATTCAGTGAAACCAAAGCCAAGATTTTGCATTATTTTGGCAAGAGTGAAGGTTTTGAAGGGGATTGGTCAAAGTGAATTTCACTAAGAATGAGAAACAAATATAATCAATCTTAAACTTCTAATTTTTTTGGTAGTACTACTTATGTAACTTACATCAACCTTTTATACACATAATATATATCTGAAGAAATGTAGATATGGGTGCCCGGGTGGCTCAGTCGGTTAAGTGTCTGCCTTTGGCTCAGGTCATGATCCTAGTGTCCTGGAATTGAGTCCCCCATCAGGCTCCCTGCTCACTCTTTTGCCTTTAGCCCTCCCCACTGGTTGTGATCTGCCTCTCTCTCTCATGCTCTCTCTTTCTCAAATAAATGAATAAAATCTTTTTTAAAAACCCACAATTTTTTTTAAAGATTTTATTTATTTTGACACAAAAAGAGATCATAAGTAGGCAGAGAGGTGGGCAGAGATGGGGAAGCAGATTCCCCACTGAGCAGGGAACCCAATGTGGGGCTGGATCCCAGGACCTTGAGATCATGACCTGAGCCTAAGGCAGACGCTTAACGACTGAGCCACCCAGGCGCCCCCAAAAAACCACAATTTAAAAGATATGTAGATAGATATTCAGTTAATAGTGATATGCTAAGATTAATTCTGACCACTATTCCAGATTTTATTTGCCCGCAGCTGTAGCCTTAAGTATACTTCTTCACTTTAGGGAGCATGTTCCCTGTATTCGCTTTCACTCTTAGCTCCATTCTGTAGTCCGGGAGTTACAATGCTAGTATCAGGGAAATAAGGACTCAGATATGGTAGTAATATCCTGCATGGCTCAGCTTGATCTCAGAGGGCTTGCCTGCTTCTTGGTTCCTTTCTTATTCTCATCTGTGTCTCAGAAGAGTCATTCATATTTGTTTGCCTACATTTGATACTAGCCATCATTTCTTTAAACGATCGGTCGGGCATCCACTTGTATATGATGTAGCTTGGAGCTGTGAAAAGAGTGTGGAGATGTGGAGTCAAAACTTGTTCAGTTATTTGTTAGCCTCATGCCTTGGGCAGATGACTTTGGAGGATCATTCTGCTCATCTATATGAAGAAAGAGGAATAGTAACAGTCAGCCTCATGCATTGTTATATCGAATGGGGTAAGGTATATACACTGCCTGCCTGTTAGTTCCTTCACTTCACTGAAACCAGGTGACTAGACCCTCACCAGTGATTTCCTCTTGCCTATCATTATTCTTCCTTCTGTCTTTCTCCTTGTTCCTGGTAGCAGCACATTACATTCTTTTAGCTTCTGTGATAAAATACCGTTTTTAGGAAAGAAAATACTGTTTTAGTATTCCCTGTTTTGGTCATGTAACTAAATATTATTTAAAGTTTATTTTTAGAGTTCTTTTGTTTTGTTGGTTCTGCGTCTTCCACCAAGTACTTTCCTCTCATGGTTTAAATGCTTTTCTCTGTGTGATGGCTATTACTTCCATTTTTAGATCCTAATATTTCTACTAAGGTAGACCTGAATGCTTTCTTGCATGATATTTTTTTGTGAACGTTCCCGTCACCTCAAACGCAACTTGCCTGTACCAAAAGAACTCAGACGTTTTTATGGAATCGGACTGACTTGTAGATTTTCTTTGTTCTAGAGGAGTTAACATGTCTTGGTTTCTTCATCATCTTTGATGGATTCTTTATTATTGATTAAAGACTGGGAGATAAGCCAGTTTAATTTTTTTCCTCCTGATTTCTCCCATTTCCAGTTAGTAATGAAGATCTGCTGATCTCTTAAATAAATTCTTCTCATCTTTTTCATTCTACATCTTCTTTTTTTTTTTCCTTAAGATTTTATTTATTTGAGAGAGACAGAGAGAGAGCATGAGCAGGAGGGAGGGGAAGAGGGAGAGGGAGAAGCAGGCTCCCCGTTGAGCAGGGAGTCTAATGCAGGGTTCAGTCCCAGGACCCCAGGATCATGACCTGAGCCAAAGGCAGATGCTTAACAGACTGAGTCACTCAGGTGCCCTACATTTTCTTTTGCATTAACTACTCTAGTATCCGTATATTTCGAAGCTTTGATAATAATGAAGTTTTATTTATTTACTAAATTTTAATTCCAGTATAGTTAACATACAGTGTTATATTAGTTTCAGGTGTATAATATTCTGTACATTAACAGTTCTATACATTACTCAGTGCTTATTGTGTTAAGTATACTCTTAATTCCCTTCACTTATTGCACCTGTCTCCTCCCCTCCCCCAACTATCAGTTTGTTCTCTATAGTTGAGTCTGTTTTGTTTTTGTCTCTTTTTTTCTTTGTTCATTTGTTTTGTTTCTTAAATTCCACATAAGTGAAATCACATGGTGTTTGTCTTTCTCTGACTGACTTAATTCACATAGCATTATACATTCTAGATTTGTCTGTGTTGTTGCAAATGGCCAGATTTCATTCTTTTTTATGACAGAATATTAATGAAATTGTATTGAAGTCAAGATTGGAATAGAAATTTTTTTTTCTAACTATATTTGAAAGGTCTAGAGAAAAACTATTAAATACCCATATGTGCCTGGGGACACACACACGAAGTCTCAATCATATATGTGATATATGTGTTAAGGAACTGTACTTCAAAAAAGTCTCCTTTAGGGGTGGGATAATTGAAAACTTAGAACTTTGTGCTTTGTTTAGAGCAGAGTTTCTCTGTACTGTTGTCTTTTTGGGTATGATATTTCTTTGTTGTGGGGGGTCTGTGCATTTTAGGCTGCTGAGCAACATCCCTGGCTTCTACTCACTAGATGCCAGTAGCCACACACACTGCCCCCAACACCCAAAGTCAGGACAGTGAAAAATGTCTCCAGACATTGCCAGATGTTTCTTGATCAGGGAGAGATGGGTAGGGGCAAAATCTCCCACAACTGAGAACCACTGGTATAGAGAAAACTAGACCAAGGCAGCAGAAGTAGACTATTTATTTTATACCCTGCCAGCTTCCTAAGATTGTTCATTACAGCACGATGAAAAAACCTTGACAAAAGAGGATCAAACAAAATTCATCTTTACATACATTTTTAGACTCTCCTGAGACTGCATCAAGAAGTGGGAATAATATTTTTAGGAAAATAAAGAAACCTAGATGTGGTATATTGTTTTTATATGAGAATATGATGTGAATTTGGTGGGAAATTATATACGTTTATGTACTGACTTCACCAGAGTTGGTTTCTAATTTCTTTTCTAGTAAGGACTTGCTGGGATCTGATGAAACTTTGAGAACTTCTTTTTCAGCATTTAACCTTTGCTTCACTGTCAGTTTGTATTTCCTACTATTCTTGTTTAAAGAAATTTGAGGACTTAGGCTTTTTGGTGATTGATCATAGATCCAGTTCTTTGATACTTTAGTTTTTTTTTCTAAACATTTGTGGATTTCTTGAAAATATTCCTGTTCTCTCTTTCCTTCTTTTCTCTTTCCTTTTTACAACATAACCTCTCCTTTAAAAAAAAAAAAATCCTTGAGCTTGTCAAGAGTAATACCAAAGTTCACATTCTTCAGTGACCATACCATTATATGGAACAAACCAGATAGGCTTCCTATCTGTAATTTTCTATATAGGCAGACTTCCAGACCCTCAAGAGTAATTTGTAGAGCCTTCTTAGAATTGACCAAACAAGATATGACTGTAAATGAATTTAGGAGGGTTGAGAATATGAGCTTAAGGAACTGTTAAGTATTCATTTTCATAAAAATTAGGTTTGTTTTAATCAGGTTAAGCCTACTATTAATCCTATTTTCTTTATTTTTTCTCTCTTTTTATAGGTAGGTTGTTCTAATACGGACACTAATCAGACTTTTTCATCCACATTGCCTCCATTTACTCCTGATGAGCCAACCATAGAGTTGGAGTATCACTCTTCAGATCTCAGGATGTTGAGGGTATCTCCTGACACTGTGCAAAAGTCTCTCAAACATATAGCAGGTATGTAGAAAAGAAGATATTAGATGTTCGTGTGACTAGCTTGCTAAAAATACATTGCTGTGGCTAACTAATTTTTTATTTTTGAACACTTTCAATAATGTTAACTTTGGATTAGGTGTATTTATAAATCCCCAAATCTTTTATTAGGTGAATCATTTGGTTTTTCATTGCCTTCTCTATGGCAGTGTTTAGAACTGAATTACGTGGCGGAATCTATTAGAGTCAGTTTATTATTTCTGCATTCCTTTCTGTGACTTGAAGGGAAGAAAGAAATTAATGGAGCACAAGAGGAAAAGAGTGGATTCAAATAAATTTGTAGAGAAGAAACAAAGATCAGTTCTGAGGTAGAAAGCAAGATTATCTGCTGAGGGGAGGTAGTGATAAAGGAGGGTTAGGGGGGTTAAGGAGAGTAGATTGGTGCAGGCTCAGAATTTATGTTAAAGTGAATAGGAATTGCAGCTGACCAAGAACAAGCAAAAGAACTGGCAGGTAGTTCTGAGAAGTCAGCTGAGGTTGGAGATGATTCTGTAATGTTGACAGCCTTACTAGAATCTCTGGTTTTTCTCTTCTAAAACTCAAGACTGCAGAAATTGAGTTATAGGTTGATCCTCAGTTTTGCTGAGGGATTTGTTGAGTGGGTGGATGTGGTGGATGAAAAACAGTGGAAGGGAATCAGTAAATATTAAATGTTTAGATCTGTGAATGTGCGTTGTCTTTCCTTTGATAGAATGCCATTTTATATTAAATGCTTTGATCTATAAATATGGGACATCTTTTCATTATTTAGGTTTTCTTTATTTTTTTCAACAATATTTTGTAGTTTTCAGTGTATGAGCCTTGCAGTCCTTTGTTAACTTAATTCTTTTTTTTTTTTTTTAAGATTTTATTTATTTATTTGACAGAGAGAGAGATCACAAGTAGGCAGAGAGTCAGGCAGAGAGAGAGAGAGGCAGGCTCCCCGCTGAGCAAAGAGCCCGATGAGGGGCTCGATCCCAGGACACTGAGATCCTGACCTGAGCCGAAGGCAGCGGCTCAATCCACTGAGCCACCTAGGCGCCCCTGTTAACTTAATTCTAAGTATTTTAATCTTTTTGTTGAAAAAGAAACTGTTTTCTTAATTTCATTTTTGGAGTATTCATTGCTAGTGTATGGAAATACAGTTGAATTTTGTAAATTGTATAGCTGCCATCTTGCTGAACTATTTGTTATTACCTCTAATATATTTTTGTGTGGATTTCTTATAATTTTTATATACATGACCACATCATCTTCATATATAGTCTTCTTTCTTTCCAACATGGATGCCTTTTATATATTTCAGATTCCCAACTGCCCCCAACTAGAACCTTCAGTGCAGTGTTGCATAAAAGTGGCAAGAGCAGACATCCTTGTCTTTTCCTGATCTTTGTAGAAAGATATGAAGTCTTTTATCATTAAGTATGATGTTAGCTGTGGGATTTTTGTAGACTATCTTTATCAGGTTGAGGAAGTTCCCCTTTATTTGTATTTTTTAGAGCATATTTATCATGTCACCATATAAGGGTGTTAGATTTTGTCAGATTTTTTTTTTCTGCCTCTTTTATTATGATCACATGGTTTTTGTCTTATATTCTCATAATATAGTACATTGTTAATTTTCATATAACCGACCTTGCAATCTTGGTTATATATGCCATTTGGTTATGGCATATAATTCTTTTTGTATGTTGTTGGATTTTTTTGGCAAGTAATTTTTTGAGGACTTTTGTATTTATATTCATAGTGGGTATTGGTGTGTACATTTGTTGTGATTTTTGTTATTGGCTTTGGCGCAAGAATAATACTAATGTTACAAGTTGAGGTGAGAAGCATTATCTCTTCTAGTTTCGCTGATGTCACAAGTTGGAATGAGAAGCGTTGTCTCTTCTAGTTTTGCTAATGTCACAAGTTGGGATGAGATGTGTTGTCTTCTAGTTTTTGAAAGAGTTTGTAAAGGATTAGTTTTTATTGGGTGAAGGCTGCCTGCCTCTTTGTAGAAGTTTTAAAATTACTAATTCCATCTCTCTGCTTGCTATAAGTATTTATATTTTATATTTTTCATGAATCAGTTTTCATAATTTGTGTCCTTTGTGGAATTTGTCCATTCCACCTAGGTTATCTAATTTGTTGGCATATAACTGTTCATGGTATTTGCTTATAATCCTTCTTATTTTGGAAGATTGGTAGTAATATCCCTTCTTTCATTCATGATTTCGATATTTTGAATTTTCTCTTTCTTTTTTTAGTGAGTCTAGCCAAGTTTTGTCAATTATGTTCATCTTTTCAAAGAAATAAACTTTGGTTTCTCTACTTTTTCTGATCTCTTTTCTCTACATTTAAATTTCTGTTTTGTTCCCATTTTAGTCTTTATTTTTTCCTTCCTTTCACACTTCAGCTTTGGTTTGTGCTTTTTACTATTTCTTGAGGTGAAAGAATAGGTTATTGATATGAAACCTTTTTTTAAGATTTCTCATCTGTTTATTGAGAGAGAGAGAGAGAACACATGAGCTGTGGGGAGGGGCAAAGGGGGAGAGAGAAGCAGACTCCCTGCTGAACAGGGAGCCTGATGTGGTGCTTGATCCCAGAACCCTGAGACCACGACCTGAGCTGAAGGCAGACCCTTAGCCAGCTGAGCACCCAGGTACTCCGAGACTTTATTTTTGATATAGGTGTTTACATTTAGAAATTTCTAAGCACTACTCTAGTGGCATGCTCAGAGTTTTTGTTTCTTGTGTTTTTGTTTTAATTCATCTAAAATATTTTTAAGTTTCTATTGCAATTTGTTTTCGTTGACGCTGTGGTTATTTGGGTATGTCTTGTTTAATTTCCACTTATTTTTGACTTTCCTTTTGTTATTAATATCTCATTTGATTCCATTTTTGTTGGAGAACACCTGCTTTGTATGATTTTAGTTCATTTACATTTTACTCAGGCTTGCTCTTATGTCCTAGTGTGTAGTTTATTCTGTAGAATGTATGGTTTACTCTTGAGAAGAATGTGTATTCTGCTGTTGTTAGGTGGTGTGTTCTATACTTGTCTCTTAGTTCTAGTGGGCATATAGTGTTCAAGTCTTCTGTATCCTTGTTGATCTTCTGCCTAGTTTTCTCTGTTTTTGAAAGTAAGCTATTGAAATCTTGAACTGTAATTGTTTGTTTTATCATTTTTTCTGTCTTATTTGCTTCATATCTTTTGAGACTATGATATTAAGTGCATTTATGTTTATAATTGTTGTATATTCCTGATGAATTGACCTTTTTGTTGTTACAAATGGTTGCCCTTTAATTCTAGTAACATTTTTTGTTTTAAGGTCTGTTTTCTCTTACATCAGTATAGTCACTTCAGTTCTTATGCTTGCTGCTTGTATGGCATATGTTTTTCATTCCTTTACTTTCAACCTATTTGTTTTTTTTTAATCAGAAGTGTTATCTCTTGGGGTGCCTGGGTGGCTCAAGTGGGTTAAAGCCTCTACCTTCGGCTCAGGTCACGATCCCAGGGTCTTGGGATCCAGCCCCGTGTCCGGCTCTCTGCTCGGCAATGAGCCTGCTTCCCTCCACTCTCTGCCTGCCTCTCGGCCTACTTGTGATCTCTGTCTGGCAAATATATAAAAATAAAAAAAAAAAAATTAAGACTTTATTTATTTATTTATTTGCCAGACAGAGATCACAAGTAGGCTGAGAGGCAGGGGCCCAAGCCCAGGACCCCAGGATCGTGACCTGAGCCGAAGGCAGAGGCTTTAACCCACTTGAGCCACCCAGGCGCCCCTAAAAATAAAAATCTTAAAGTGTATCTCTTGTAAACAGCTTTATAGTTGGATCTCATGGTTTTTTGTTTTTTTTTTTTAAATCCAGACTGACAGTCTTTGCCTTTTTTTTTTCCCCCTAAAGATTTTATTTATTTATTTGACAGACAGAGATCACAAGTAGGCAGAGAGGCACGCAGAGAGAGGAGGAAGCAAGCTCCCCGCTGAGCAGAAAGCCCGACGCGGGGCTCGATCCCAGGACCCCGGGATCATGACCTGAGCTGAAGGCAGAGGCTTTAACCCACTGAGCCACCCAGATGCCCCCAGTCTTTGCCTTTTAATGTGACTGTTAATCAACTCATGTTCAATGTCATTATTAAGATTGGATATATATTTGCTGGGTTACTTTTTGTTTTCCATGTTTCTTGTTTTTTTTTTTTTTGTTATGTTCCTCCCTGCTTTTTATTGGACTTAGTGAATGTTTTCTAGTATCACATTTTAATTTTTAAAATTATTTTCTAGTTAATTTTTAAAGTTATATCCTAGGGGCACCTGGGTGGCTCAGTGGGTTAAGCCTCTACCTTCAGGACAGGTCATGATCCTGGGGTCCTGGGATGAATCAGGCTCTCTGCTCAGCGGGGGGCCTGCATCCCCCTCCCCCTCTGCCTGCCTCTCTGCCTACTTGTGATCTCTCTCCTTCTGTCAAATAAATAAATAAAATCTTAAAAAAAATAAAGTTATATCCTAGTCATTGCTCTAGGGCTTACAGAATTTATCTTATTAGAATATATACCTGATTTATACTAACTTAATTGTAGTGTAATACAGAAACTCCTATATGGTTCTATTCTCTTTTGTGTGTGCTATTACTGGTATATGTATTATACCTATATGTGTTACAAACATGCAAGAATACATTATTAATGTTACATTATTAAACTTATTTTTATAATTTTTTGTATTTTTACAGAGCTGAGAGAAGTAAGGAGAGCAAGTATTTAGAGTTTATTATATCAATCTTCTGATTTACCATTTTTTATTCTCTTTATTTGTTCCTGTGGATTTGTTACCATCCAGTCTTCTCCTTACTCCACTCCAGCTTTGCTCCCATTTGCCTCCTTTTGATTTTCATTGTCAAATATGTTACATTTCTATATGTGATAGCCCTACTAATATAGTTAAATACATATTGTTTTGTGTAAAATTGCTTTTAAAATCAGTTAAGAGAAGAAAGGAAATGAAA